GGGTATCATTCCTGGCAGGAAGTTACAAATTTCAACCTGATGAAGTTGAAGTGTTTTATGAAACTACTTGAAACAAACGAACTGAAGTAACGGTGATATTCCAAATTCCCCATTCACTGACAATCGAGGCAGACGTTTATGCCTCTGTTGAGGCCTCAAAGATAAAAGCTTAAAGAGATCTTTATGTAACAGCACTATACTGTCCAGATTATACGAAAATTATTGAGCAGAATGACATTATGGTCAACTTGCGGATAAACCGTGTAGAATATCATTTGATTACACAGTGATTGTACTAAAAACTTATGATCTTCTGGGAAATTCTATATCTACCAGAACTCCGAGAAATTACTTCAGACACTCAGAAATGTACCCTAAGATGGTCTCACCTAAGTCCTATTAATTCTCACTCAAATCCTGGAAACACCTACAGTCCACCATCTGGCCACAGTTATGGCAGCTCCTTCACCCGATCATTCCTGGCAGGAAGTTACCAATTTCAACCTGATGAAGTTGAAGTGTTTTATGAAACTACTTGAAACAAACGAACTGAAGTAACGGTGATAGTTTAAATTCCCTATTCACTGACAATCGAGGCAGACGTCTATGCCTCTGTTAAGGCCTCAAAGATAAAAGCTTAAAGAGATTTTTATGTAACAGCACTATACTGTCCAAATTATACGAAAATTATTGAGCAGAATGACAGTATGATCAACTTGCGGATAAACCGTGTAGAATATCATTTAATTACACAGTGATTGTGCTAAAAACTTATGATCCTCTGATTAAAAGAATAAAATGAAGGCGTGATCACCACAAAATCCTCCCCCAATTTAATGATTGGTGCGCCATCTTTAACTGGAAGCATACCCTCCCCAGACTCCTATGGCCGTGCTAACACCACCAAATTTGCATATCGAGTCCCCCACATCACTCGTCCCATGATTCGCATGTCACCGAGTAAAGGAGGGCTTTAAGTTTGTGTGTACTTTTCTATTAGAATGTAATGAGGTTGTATGGTAGAGTAACGATAAAGATTGGTTTAATGAAGTTTTGGTTTTAATGTTTGATGGTTGTGTTTAATGCTAGAGAAAATCAACTGTTGATATTCTCTTGGTTCAATGTGATGCAATTGGATAAATGTTCAACCATTGCTACCCTCCAGGTGCGAGACGCAGTTTATAACCTTGGGAAACAATTGAATTGAAAGGGAAAATGTCACCTTGTAAAACCTGATGATAAGTTTGTGAGATAAGTTTTTTCACAGGCAAGGACAGTAAACTCAACTGGGACCGTTAATTTGGGCAACTTCTCCGAAAAAGCTTTCTACGCTTGTTCCAACACAAGTAGAAATAAAAGGTAGTTTGCTAGTTTCTAAGAAAACTGTCTCGTGTCCATGGACAGGCAAGTGAAAAATTGTAGTTCATTATCCAGTAGGAGTTGATAAATGTACATAAAACGCCATATAAATTTTGACAAACTGATATTTTAGAGGTCGACGGTCGCTGAATTAAAGAGACGCCTCCCTGTTAGCTCAATTGGTTAAGCGCCGGGCTCTTGTGCGGGAGGTCGAGGGTTCGAGCCCTAACCGGACCATCACTCAAGGTCTTAAAATTATTGAGGAGAATATGCTACCTTTCTATAACATCGATCAAGAAATGGTTAGATATTGTAGTCTTCTTGGATAGGGACGAATAAATGGAGGTCCTGTCTCCTGCATCTATTAATTAATTAATTGGGTTAGGCAGGGGACGTTAAAGAATCCACTTCACGAGATTACTGTGATGTGGTCTGGCCTGTTTGCTGCGTTA